GTAGTACAATTCGTTACAAGTGCATGTGGATCAGGACTATACCCACTCACATGGCCAGGGTTCCGAATCCATGCCTCAACTGAGTCCGATCGGCATAGAAAGAAAGAAAAGAAAAGAAAGAATAGAAAGAAAGAATAGAAAGAATAGAAAGAAAGAATAGAACACAGAAGAAAGAAAGCATAGAACACAGAAAGAAAAGATGAGAAACAGAAAAACAGAAAACAAATTGCATTCTTTATGCATTTATGTACATGCATCATGACATTTGTTTCTCTAGTTGTACTTACATGTTAGTGAGTGAGAAAAAGGAACAAAGAAAGAAAGAAAAGAATAGAAAGAAAAGAATAAGAAAGAAAAGAATAAGAAAGAAAGAAAAGAAAGAAGAAAAAACAAAGAGAAGTAGAATGAAAAAAAAAAACAGAGAGAATTAGAAAGAAAGTACAGAGAGAATTGGAAAGAAAGAACAAAGAGATCTAGAAAGAAAGAACAAAGAGAGCAAAAAAGAACAAAGAAAGAATAGAGGAAGAATAGAGCAAGAGCAGAGAAAGAATAGAGCAAGAGTAGAGAAAGAATAGAGAAAGAGTAGTGAAAGAATAGAGAAAGAACAAAGAAAGAATCGAGAAGAAGAGAAAAGTGTGATGTAAGGAAAGAATTCAGAATAAAAGCAACGGAGATAAAAAGGTAGCATAGCGGGTTTACTTATTAAGCAATTAGTGCTCATCCAGTTGTTTTCAATGTCTTTGCAGGTAGCAAATGAGATGCGGTTGCTTGGAATGTCAAGATGTGGAAGGGTCGGGCAACACTATCGAGCTTCTTGAGAAATTTATTCACACTATTTATAGTTTTGTATATATAAAATAAAATTGGGCCAATTATTTTATACTCATCTACATGTGCATTTTTGTAATATATATATTTAGTGAGTTTTACTGTTTATTTTACGAGTATACTAGTTAGAAAGAGAGTCATTACATGTTATGAGGGATTTAATTTAATTTCTTTGTCTTTCTATTTTGGTCATCTACACAACATTGTCTACAAGTGATATTTTCTGGGGTTGTTATTCTGTCCTAGTGTATAATATTTTTATCTTCTTTGTCGCAAGTCCCTAGTATTTTCCTTTTGATGAGAATCCTTGTTGTTGGATTCATGAATTTGAAGGCTTGTTTGCAATTCCTCATCCCGTTGAAATAGTTTGGTTGTTTTACCAATTTCAATAGAATTTGTATACCTTTATTTTCGTATATGGTTAGCAAAGCAATTGCGAAATGATATAGTGCTTGCATGGTATTTGTCTTGCAAGTTGCACTCAGCATAGGTAAAATGAACACTAAATGTATTCCAAGTAGTAACAAAGCGTGTTCATTTTCTGTGTTTACAAAGGTCGTTAAAATTGAAAGTCCCTCTGGTGTTATTGTTGGTAGTTTTTATATTTACTTGTAAGTGTTCCTTTTATGCATGACTTTCTTATGTTCACTTGTTTGTTAAGATATTTACACCTGCAAATTGTTAGATAAATAAAGAGTTGTTGGAGTCCCACACCGACTAGGCACGCTCAAGCCTACTGGTTTATAAGAGAGGGTAATCCTCCCATTCAACAAGACCTTATTGGGTGATGAGTCAAGCCCACGTCAAATTCTATCATGGTATTAGAGCTGAGGTTCAGTTGAGCTGTGTTTGACCAGCGGGTGAGGAGTTAGAGCCAACAACTACCTCCGTCAACAGGCATGACCCAACATATGGGCTTGACCGTGAGGGGGAGTGTTGGAGTCCCACACCGACTAGGCACGCTCAAGCCTACTGGTTTATAAGAGAGGGTAATCCTCCCATTCAACAAGGCCTTATTGGGTGATGAGTCAAGCCCACGTCAAATTCTATCATGGTATTAGAGCTGAGGTTCAGTTGAGCTGTGTTTGACCAGCGGGTGAGGAGTTAGAGCCAACAACTACCTCCGTCAACAGGCATGACCCAACATATGGGCTTGACCGTGAGGGGGAGTGTTGGAGTCCCACACCGACTAGGCACGCTCAAGCCTACTGGTTTATAAGAGAGGGTAATCCTCCCATTCAACAAGGCCTTATTGGGTGAGGAGTCAGCCCACCTCAAATTCTATCAAGAGTGACTTATAGCTTGCCATAGTATTTTATTATAATAATCAATATTGCTGGTGTTTCATTGAATGCTCTATGCATGCCATAAACAGATCCAAAATCCATACTTGGAATCTCCAGAAAACTTGGTTTCATCATAGTAGCAAGAGAAAAGTTAGTAAGATTTCCTACAACGTATCAAGCTACCAGCACCCAAGAAAAGACCAAAAGTTGCTGCACCCCATAAGGTAGTTTGACCAAACGAAGTATAAGAAGAGTCTCATAAATTCAAGCAGATACACCATGAAGTTATTGAATACACAAAATAAACTAAAAGATTTTGAGCAAAGGCAACTTGAAAATATACTAAGCCCCCAACTAGAATGTTTTAAAGGTTCCTCTAATAACACCTACAAGTCAAAATGGACAAATTTAGCACAGAACCACATTGAAAATAAGTATAAATAAAGTTGAGAGCACACGTGCATGAGCTCGTCTGCTTTCTTTCCTAGCTTCGGTAAAATGCATGGTGATACATGTATTTATTAGAAGGTTATCCAATTCTATAGTCTCTATCAAGTCAGAGTTCCTAGCAAGCAAAAGATTTTAGAATTAACACCATGATGCAAATACGTTACACGAAATAATTTAACCATCAATATTCTCCAACACAAAAAATGTTACCATATCAAACTACGATCTGTCAACTTAACATCATGAGAGCTCTCCCATGCTTTGTCAATCAATTGACAACTCGCAGAAGCAACACATAAATTAAAAGAATTAAACAGCGTTTTAAGGGATGATTAAAGGGTTATGATACAAGTAGTAGGTTCAACCCATAAGCAATTTCGCATAGGCAACAATAAGTAGACTCAACTAAGCGAGGGAGGTCTAACCCTCAAATTCATCTAACAAAGTTGGAATGTTTAATCCCACAATAATCCGGGTAAAAGAGTTATTAAGAGAGAGGATATGTGCAAAGTACAAAAGTCTAAGGGATACTAATAATTATTCATCAAAGATACATTTTTCTAATGTATCCTATGTACGAAACACATCAGCGTTATTCTGCATTAGTCGTTTCATATTCAACTGAATTTTTGAAGTTGGCATTGAGCCATTTGAAAACAAAAATCTACACTGTAAAACCTCAAATTACTAAATATTAGCCGCCCATAAAAAATTTATAGAATTATAACCATTCAAATTGGAAACTTTAGTTGAAAGAAATAAACAACATATGTTATTTTTTTTTTTTTTCCAATTATACCTCCCCATGGTGATTAGTGCGAATTCCACCTATATTGTAATGCAGAGTCAATAAAACTGGAATGGGCTCCTTTGTAACATCAATTATCAATCGAAGAAACCTTCTTCTAGTGAATCCTGTGTATGGAACACAACAGCATTATTCTGCATTAGTCATTGCATATTCAACCGAATTTTCAAAGTTGGCATTGAGCCATTTGAATTTCTAATTTTGTCTAGCTAGGCAATGGTCTTCCAACCCGTGTCTTTCTCCAATGGTTTTTGTTTATCCCCTGCACAAAAATGGAAAAAATATCTTTAATTGATCATACAAACATCATCCACAATTATCTACCACTTCTAGACATTAAACTTGCCTAGTCTCTAGATCTCTCTATTTGCACAAGCTCGATAAAAAACAACAATGTCAAGAAGAGAATTTGCACCAAGCCAATTGGCACCATGAATTGATGCCTAGGAAGCCTCACTAGTTGAGGACAAGGTTAGTTGCTTTACAATGCTGCAAAACAAGAGACAAATTAGATAAACAAATGTCAAAAGAAGAACCAAAAAATAGAGAAGTCATCCATGAAGACTTCTATAAATTGTTCCACCATATCACTAAAAATCACCATCATACAACGTTGAAAGGTGGCCAGTGCATTACATAACCCAAACGACATCCTTCTATAAGCAAATGTGCCGTAACGACAAGTGATTGTCTTGATCTTCAGGAGCAATTGGAATCTGGTTATATTCTGAATAACCGTTTAAAAAGCAATAGTCATCATGTCTTACCAATCTCTCTAACATCTGATCAATGAAAGGTAATTGGAAATGATCCTTTCTTGTTTCCTCATTCAACTTCCAGTAGTCTATGCATACCCTCCATCCAGTGATTGTCCTTGTTGGTATCAATTCATTGCTTTCATTTTTTACCACAATGATACTGCCTTTCTTGGGAACCACTTGTATTGGACCAACACATGGACTGTTTGATATGGGATAAATGATTCTTGCATCCAAAAGTTTCACCACTCCCTTTCTCATTGCATCCTTCATAGTAGGATTCAATCTTCGTTGTGGTTGAACTTTTGGCTCGAAATCCTCTTCCATCAGAATTTTATGCATACAAAATGAGGGACTGATATCCTTTATATTTGAAATAGTCCATCCAATAGCAGATTTGTGTTCTCTCAACACTCGAATCAACCTCTATTCCTCCTCCTTACTCAAATTGGCACTGATAATGACCTGAAAAGTGTTTGATTCTCCAAGGTAAACATACTTGAGATGGGAAGGCAATTGTTTAAGCTCAAGCTTCGGAAACTTTTCTAATTCATCTTTCTCTTTCTCTTCACTCACATCCAAGTCTTCAAATTTTGGAGTTTGAATGGCATTCATCGGTTGTAATGCTTTTAAAAGCCTTGCACATTCTTCTTTCTCCAAATCATCTGCACTTATAGTCTTGGATTGAGTGATACATGCTTCAAGAGGTAAGTAGGATTATCTTCTTTGAATGATTGAATAACCAATCTATCCACTACATCAATTCCAAAGCATGATCCATTTTAGATGGAAACTTCATCGCCTCAAACACATTGAAGGTTACCATCTCATCTTTAACTCTCAAAATCAACTTTCCTTGCTGTACATCAATCAATGTTCATCTAGTGCAAGGAATGGTCTTCCAAAAATGAGTGGTATCTCTTTATCTTCTTTCATGTCCAATACCACAAAATCAGTAGGGAGGATAAACTTGTCCACTTTTACCAACACATCTTCAACAATGCCCCATGGATGTTTAATAGATCTATCTGCAAGTTGAAGAGAAACCATGGTTGGATTGACTTCACCAATCCCCAATTTCTTGAAAACAGAAAGAGGCATTAGGTTAATACTAGCACCCAAATCACATAGAACTCTATCAAACTGAACATCTCCTATAACACATGGAATAGTGAAACTCCATATATCTTTAAGCTTTGGAGGTAGCTTCTTTTGGATTATGGCACTGCATTCTTCTGTGAGCATCACAGTTTCATCCTCTTCAAGCTTCCTCTTGTTTGAAGGAATCTCCTTGAGGAATTTGGCGTAGCTCGGCATTTGTTGCAATGCATCTGCAGAAGGAATGTTAATTTGCAATATTTTAAATACATCAAGAAATTTAAAGAATTGTTTATCCTGGTTTGGCTTTCTAAGTCTCTAAGGAAATGGCACTGGAGGTGTGTGATGTGCAAGGTTATGTGGAATCTCAGGAAAAGGTAGCTTTTCCTTTCTTGTCCTTGGCACATTCTCTTTCTTTGAATCATCTTTCTGTGGCTCACTTGGTGGTTCTTCCACAATGATTGTTAGAGTAGGTGCACTAAAGCCAATGATTTGCCTCTTGTAAACCCATTTCAAATTAATGAATAAAAGGCATTGCTTATTTATGAGCATATATTGTAGCATATATTTACTACGCATAAAGAGAATAGTATATGTGCTTAGAAAGGTTGGAACTGGTGACAAGGGAGTTAAGCATTATAAGTCTTAATTGTGAGAACCCTATGAGCAGAAGGTGGCCTTCTTAAATTGTCCGTAGTCATAGTATAAATCTGACCAAGGATACAGATCATACGGAGAGACTATCATTGCGTTGAATGACCCTGTCAAAAGGTAGTGATAGATCTCACTTGTCAAGGTTGTGGGCATCAACCTGGTGCAATGTATAGGTGCTTGCTTGTGCAAGTACACTGGACTGACCTATCAAAGGATTCCACACGAGATGGTAAACCCAGTGTCTGTGGAATATATCCTCTTACGGATCTTGAGATTTCCAGAGCGTCATGCGTAAATATCGATGTGATTTGACACTAGCCTAATGTCGTCTCTTTTAGGGATTACCAAAACGGTGGTGATTGGTTACATCAAGAAGTACACTATGGCTATGGTGGATCAACAAAGGATTCATCACTCCTGGTTGCAGGAGATTTCATCTTAGCGAGATATTTGGTTAAAGAATTACGACCTCAAATCTGTGGCCATGGTGAAACCGAGTTGGTGCTCGAATCCAATAGTCATCAGATTCAAGAACTAAATATAGAATATGTCGAGGTAGCTTTTGAGGTAGACACTATTTATGTACCTAAAACCTTGATGAGATAAAAGATGATGAAACAGATCGAATTGCATAGTAACCATATTGAAGACAAGGTAAGCATAAATCGCTAATTCTTTACTTACTGGGGATTCATGACGTAAGTGAGTGAAACAGATTCACGCTCAAGAAAAAGATAACAATGTAAAAAACAAAATGAATCTGAACATCTGGTGTGCTGTCATAGGCAACCAAGATTAAAAACCTTCATAACCTAACTACTGAACTGTAAATAGGGTAAGCAAGGGTCGATCCCACGAACAGTGTCTAGCCGAATTTTCGATGATGTGAATAAGGCTGGGGGGTTTTGAGTAAAATAGAAAACAATCTTAGCCAAAAACAAAAACAAAAACAATTCAATTCAAAATCAATTAATATAATGAAACTTGGTCTCCGTCAACATCCACCATCGGAATCTTACAACTGATCATTGATGCAAAAGTAAATCAATTCTTACTTTGAATATTCACCGTTAGAACTATTTTCCTATCTCTCCTTAATTATAATTAATAAGGAAACAAGCGATCTTAATTAATCTTACCACTAAACAACCCTAGACAAGTGCTAAAGATTTAATCTAGTGGCAGCCTTAAGAATTAGAGAAATAGATGAAGCTAAACAACACAAACACAAGCGGTTGTATTTAATTTAGTTGAATGTTCTTCTTAAGATTACTAATTCCTGACGCAGCAAATTATTAACCCTAATTGCTTCACAAGTTAGAGGGATCAAACAATTACGGATTTGATATCAAACTTAGCAGTAGATTACAACAAATAATACACTAGTAGGCCTCCTAGTAATTAAATGCATCAATCATGAAGATATGCGCAGAATAACATTCAATACTCAAACATGAAAATTGAACACTAAAATAAAATAGATTAGATCTCACAGTTGGTTGATTCCGAGGTCTCCGTTTCCTTCGACCAAGTTACCAAAAATCAGCCACTCATGGCCATCACGAAAATACAAAGAAAAGTTCCAGAAAAGACCGGAGAGAGGCATGTGTGTTTTTCCAAACCTAATCTGATCTCCTTAACAAATATCCAGTTCAAGTATTTGAAATCCACTAAATCTCCTAAAAGAAATATTCTAATATCCTAAAATAACATTTATCCTAATCTAATTAATTGGAAATAAAATAAAGTCCTAAAATAAAATAGGAAAGTGGTGATTGCGTGCCACATGTCCTCAAATCTTCCAATAATAAACTGCCCAATTGATTTGCATGACAAGGCAGAATGCTCCAGGACGTCGGCAGTGCAGGTGCATCAACTTCAAGCTCTATTACAACCTTGATTCAGCGAGTATCCCTCCAAACTCAAAACATAAAAGTTGTAGATTCTTTCTTATGGTTCCACATCATTTCGAATCATCTCAATCGGAGCTCGGATGAGAGAGTTATGCCCAGATTACCAAACAATGTCGAAACTGTCCGAATTCACTTAATTAATTTCGTTTTGCAATTAACGCTCCCATTTGCTTCCTAAATCAAAATAGAATAATAATCAGTACATTTTAAGAAACAAATAAGTATAAAAGACTAGACATTAAGGGGGGTCAATATGACATTTTGCATTCTCATCAACATCACATTAACGACCCAAAATCTGGGTAAAGATTATAACGTTATAAACGAAAACAGTGTAAACAAAATCTGTATAAATCAAAGTCTAACCCATACAAGGATTCGGAATACATTACCAGCATTTGGATGCTCCTTCAATATCTCTGATTTGATTTTGCTCTCGATTCAAAGTAGAATCACACTCATGTCATCCACACGAAGATAATCCATAGAACTATCGAGTGATTTGCTAGATCCTCTTGATGGCTTCAAGAATCAAGGTTTTCAATGAGTCAAGAAGAGAAAGAATATTTCTATTCAAGCAATGAGTGAGGCGTGAGAGAAAGAATAAAAGGGTGGCTAGGGTCTTAATTATTGAATAATCATCATCTCTTGATTTAATTTTAAGTTGCACTTGTACAGTGCAACAATTAAAACCCTGTTCCACTTAGGTATAGCCATGGGCTCCAACCCTAGTTCACCCTTGTGACCAAACACCCCCTTTATGGTATTTTAATTAATTAATTATTATTATAATTAAAATCAATTAAAATATAATAATATATTAACATTTAATTAATAATAATTCATTTAAATATATGCATAGATATATTTAAATATAATGTCACTAATTTAATTTTAATATTAAAATTAAATACAAGCAACAACCTCAGCAAATTTAATTGCATTATAAGATTACAAAAATACCCTTTTATCCTGAAAGATGAAAATACCCTTCTCACAAATTGATTTTTAAATTATCTTCTAAGTTTGTGACCCGTAGGCTTCTCATCATACCGGCAGTGTATAGTATTGCGATTAACACCAATTAATCGTCTCACTACACAAAAACCAAGATTAGCCCCTAGCAAGGCATCATGGCCACCCAATAGCTTTGGATTCAGTAAAACTGCAGTCTGTCAACAGTATGGTTACCATGTAATCAAATCCTTTCATCATCTGTTATCTCATCGAGACTAAGGTACAGAAATAGTGTCAACCTCAAAATCCTCAACATGTTTGTATTCAGTTACTGGACCAATGACTGGAATATAAAATTGGATTGAGCAACAACTCAATCCCACTGTGGCCACAGATTTAGTATCATTGCCATTTACCGAATTACCCAGTGAGATAACTTCTCCTGTATCCAGGAGTATTGAATCCTTTGTCGATCCACCATAGCCTCGATACACTTCTTAATGTAGCCAATCACTATTGTATTGATAGCTTTGAATAGAACTACGTTGGGCTAGTGTCAAACTACATCAATTGGTGCATAAGGCGCTCCGGTGATCTCAAGTCTAAGGATCACACGTAGCACCATCCGTTAGAGGATTTATTCCATAGACATTGGGGTTACCATCCATATGGAATCCTCTGGTGGGTCTGTCCAATGAACTTGCCTCTAGCAAGCACCCATGCATTGCACTAGGTTGTCGGCAAACAACCTTGACAAATGAGATCAGTCACTGCCTTTCGACAAGGTCTTTCAACACTATGATAGCCTTACCGTATTATCTGTGTCTTTTGTCAGAATAATACTAGGGCTACGGACGTTTCTAGAATGGCCACCATATGTGATCATAGGGTTCTCACTATCAAGATTTGAAACACTTGATATCTACCATCCTAAGGACATATATCATTACATATAACTATGATTTACACAATATAGAAGAGTATGCCTTTTATTGATAAATGAACATTTATTACAAAGTCAGTTTTACAATAATAGATTGGCTCTAGGGCACCTACTCTAACAATCTCCCACTTGCACTATAGCTAATCATTCATGTATTTAATACCGAATGACCTTAAGTGTTTTTCATGCTTTTGTTGTGATAGAGGCTTCGTGAATGGATTAGCGAGATTGTCATCAGTATGCACTTTACTGATCTATACATCTTTCCTCTCAACCATTTCTCTAATGAGATGAAAATGTCTGAGTATGTGTCTAGACTTCTGGTGAGACTGTGGTTCCTTTGCTTGAGCTATTACTCCATTGTTATCACAATAGACATCTATTGGATCAACAATTATAGAGACCACACCAAGTTTAGTGATGAACTTCTTAATCCAGACTGCTTCCTTGGCTACATCGGATAATGCAATATACTCAGCCTCCATTGTAGAGTGTACTACAATGCTTTGCTTGGAGCTCTTCCAGCTCACTACACCCCCATTGGGACAAAATACAAACCCTAATTGAGATCGATAATCATCTTTATCCGTTTGGAAACTAGTATCACTGTATCCTCTTATAGTGAGCTCATCTTCCCCTCCATAAACCAAGAACATGTCCTTAGTCCTCTTCAGGTACTTAAGGATGTTCTTGATAGCTATCTAGTGACACTCACCTGGATCCGATTGATATCTACTGCAAGTGTTTAATGC